ATCTATCTATCTATCTATCTATCTATCTATCTATCTACATCCATCCACCCATCCATCCATCCACATCTATTATCTATTATCTATCTATTATCTATCTATCTATCTATCTATCTATCTATCTATCTATCTATCTACATCCATCCATCCATCCACATCTATCTATCTATTATCTATCTATCTATCTATCTATCTATCATCTATCTATCTATCTATCTATCTATCTATCTATCTATCTATCTATCTATCTATCTATCTATATCCATCCATCCACATCTATCTATCTATCTACATCCATCCATCCACCAATCCATCAACATCTATCTATTATCTATCTATCTATCTATCTATCTATCTATCTATCTATCTACATCCATCCATCCATCCATCCAAATTACAAAAAAAAGTCTAGTAGGTAAATAATTTAAATTAATTGATAAAATGACGTGATCCGTCGCTTTAATAAATAAACGATTCAGCCGACCCCGGAGCTCTTAATGCCCCTTGCTTACCAGTAGGGGGTCCCCACAAATGAATTGGCAGGGGAAGCGATGGAGGCCGACCCAAAATCAGCCAGCTTCACCTGCCCGGGTTCCGTCAGTAGAATGTTCCCTGCCTTGATGTCCCTGCGAAGAAAAGGAAGGCAAGCCACAGGTTTATCCACAGGGGATGGGTGGGAGAGAATACAGGCAGTCCTTGACTTACAGCCATTCACTTAGCGACAAGTTCGAGGTTATAACATCACTGGGGGGGGAAAAAGTGAGTCCTGACCGTTTTTCACACTCGTGACTGTTGCATCCTCCCCACAGTCCCAGGATCGGAATTCAGAGAGTTGGCAACTGACTCGTATCTATGACGGTTGCAGTGTCTCGGGGGCGGGGGGGGATTCCCCCCCTCCCTTTTGCGGCCTTCTGACAAGCAAAGTCGTTGGGGGGAAAAGCCGGATTCCCTTAACAACCAGGTTCAACTTGTTGAACAACTGCAGTGATTCACTTAACAGCAGGAAAGGTCGCAAAACGGGGCAAAGCTCAATTAAAAATCATCTCGCTTAGTAAAGGAAATTACTTGTCATTAACATGCGCTGTGGGCAACTTTCTAGAAACTAAAGCTTGCTTCTAGGAAGTTATTTCTAGAAAAAACGCAGCCTTTTTAAAAATATCCCAATAACGGATAACCAGAGTAGGAAGGGACCTTGTAGGTCATCTAGTCCAACCCCCCACCCAAGCGGGAGACCCTACACCATTTCTGACAGAGGGCAGTCCAGTCTCTTCTTGAAAGCCTCTAGGGATGAAACCTCCCACAATTTCCGAGGGCAACTTCTGTTCCATGGGTTGATATTCTCCCTGTCAAGAAATTCCTCCTTATTTCCAGGTTGAATCTCTCCTTGTTCAGTTTCCCTCCATTATTCCTTGTCTGGCCATCAAAGGTGCTTTAGAAAATAGCTTGACCCCCTTCCTCCTCTCTGGGGCAGCCCCTCCCTCAAATATTGGAAGATGCTCTCCTGTCTCCCCTGGTCCTTCTCTTCCCTAGACCAGCCAGGCCCAGTTCCTGCAACCGTCCGTCGTATGTTTTATCCTCCAGTCCCCTCATCATCCTGGTTGCTCTTCTCTGCACTTTTTCTAGAGTCTCAACCTCTTTTTTATAACGTGATGACATTCCATTCTGTCTCTGTAAAATATAATTTATTGATATCTGGGTGTGCCTCTCTTAGATCCCTTTCCCTCCCTGCGGGCCCTACCATGCCAGTTCAGCATTTGTTCTTTGAAACCCAAAACTCAGGACAGAGGAGCAAGAAACAGCTGATTCAGAAGGTCCACAAATAGAACATAGAATAGCCGAAGGGATCTTGGAGGTCATCTAGTCCAACGCCCTGCTCGAACAGGAGACCCTAGTAGACCATTCCAGAGAAGTGGCTGTCCAGTCTCTTCTTAAAAACCTCCAGTGATGGAGCACCCACAACTTCTGGTGGCCCGCAGTTCCACTGGTTAATTGTCCTCACTATTAGGGAGTTTCTCCTTAATTCCCAGTTGCTTCTCTCCTTGTTCAGTTTCCATCCGTTGCTTCTCCTCCTGCCTTCAGGTGCTTTGGAGAATAGCTTGACTCCCTCTTCTTTGGGGGAGCCCCTGAGATGTTGCAAGGCTGCTATCATGTCACCCCTAGTCCTTCTTTTCATTAAACTAACCATACCTTGTTCCTGCAACCGTTCTTCGTATGTTTTAGCCTCCAGTCCCCTAATCCTCTTTGTTGCTTTTCTCTGCACTCTTTCTAGAGTCTCAACATCTTTTTTTATATTGTGGCAACCAAACTTGGTTCCGGGATTGGCCTTATCAAGGCCTTATAAAGTGGTATCAACCCTTCACATGTTCTTGATTCTATGCCTCTGTTTATACAACCAAGGACTGTTATTTGTTTTATTGGCTTCCACCACCCTCCGCTGGCTCGTATTTAAGTGACTGTCCAATCGGACACCGATTGGATTCACAGTTACGGGCACTGAGTCAGGTTTCACCTACTTTGTAGCTGTAGGGTTGTTGCCTTGCCTGAGTGTAGGGCCTTACTTTCCGTTTACGTCGGATGTTTGCTTTGTGACTTGGGGCAGGAGTCAAGGCAAGGAGGGAAGGACTCACCGATGGATCAGGTTGTGGGAATGCAAGTAGGCCAATCCTCGGAGAGCACCATGGGTGATGGCAGCAATTTCCACTTCTTGCAACGGCTTTTTATGAACTGGAGGAAAGAGAGGCATGGTTAGCAAGGCAGTGGTGGCATTAAAACAGGGCGTCCAGTCTTGGCCACTTTTAAAGATGGGTGGACTTCAACTCCCAGAATTCCACCTGTCTTTAAAATGAACCCTCATTTAAAAGATTTCCCCTTCAGCCACACTGAGCCTAAATTCAAGGCACCAAAGGTAGTGCTGTGGCCCACCAGCGGCCAGCGGAGCTGGTGGCAGATTTGGACAGTGAGGAGGTTGGGGAGGAACATGGGCCAGTCCTGGAGTCTGGGGAAGGCGCTGACGAGGGCTCTGTCAGAGGTAGAGATGGGGCCAGGGCTGTCCGACAGTTCTCAGCTGCCTTCGGAGTCGGAGATCAGTGGGGAAGAAGAACAGCTGGAGCCTGTTCCCAGTGTGCGCATGCACAGAGCTGCCAGAAGAACAGCTAAGGAACACGGGTCGACTTGGGAGTGAAGGCACAAGTGGATGGTGAATGGCCCCTCCCAGAGGGAATAACAGAGGAGCAAAAGGAGGAGAGTGGGACTTTGCAGGATACAATTAGTTCATTTAATTAGTGTCAATATCTGTTCCTGACTTCTTGCCAACTAATTGCTGCTACAGCTTGGCGTTTGGAAGCTATCGGCCTGGCAACTCTCCAAGCCTGATAAAGGTCTGTGGTTATGAAATCTCATGAAAGACTGTTTGCTGGGACTTTGCTGGAGGGGAATTCACTTTTAACCTAAATAAAAGGGGTTTTATCGAGATGAGGAGTCGGCTTAACGATCTTGGGAAGGTCTAGGTGAGAACAGATAGTTTAGCTTAAGGGTGTCAAACTCACAGCCCGTAGGCAGGATGTGTCACATTCTGGCCCTGCCCCCGCCCGGTTTAGCGAAGGGGGGAAAAGTCCCAACACGTCACGTGATGCCACTGTGACGATGTGAGTTTGACACCCCTGGTTTAGGTAATCTTCAATCTCTTATGAAGCCCATGGGTGGATATATGCCCTTTTTGCTAAAAACTGCAATAGGAATATCAAATAAAGGTAAAATATTATTTCAATAATAGTTAAGGAATGAAAGAGATTAGAAATATACCTGGCAGTAGGGCAAAAGAAAGTTTTCTTTTTTTAAAAAAAAGACCTAGCTGAATTCACCAATCATTATAATGTAATTCTGGGTCTTTTCCTGCTGTCAAGTTCTTTCTTTCTTTCTTTCTTTCTTTCTTTCTTTCTTTCTTTTCTTTCTTTTTTTCTTTCTTTCTTTCTTTCTTTCTTTTTTTCAATTTAATTTAACTTAACTTAACTTAACTTAATTTAATTTAATTTAATTTAGTCAAGCATGTATGAGAAAACCAGTATAAGTATGGACATAACATATAAACATATAATTATAAACAGGTATTTATTATGTAAATATTTATACCTGTTTATAATTATATGTTTATAATTAAATAAAAATGGAACATTAATATTAATATTTATTAATGTTCCATTAATAAAAATGGAACATGAGGACAGGGACGGTAGGCACGCTGGTGCGCTTATGCACGCCCCTTACAGACCTCTTAGGAATGGGGTGAGGTCCACGGCAGACAGTGTAAGGTTAAAGTTTTGGGGGTTTGAAGAAGTAACAACAGAGTCAGGTAGAGCATTCCAGACATTGACCACTCTGTTGCTGAAGTCGTATTTTCTGCAATCGAGTTTGGAGCGGTTTACTTTGAGTTTGTATCTATTGTTTGCCCGTGTGTTATTGTGGTTGAAGCTGAAGTATGCTTATGTTTTGTTGCTTGATATATTGTGACGTCTTAGTCACTGTGGCTTTCAGACCATGGTTTATAGATACAGAAATTCAGTGTACTCAACAAGCCACTGTTAAGTAAACGTGACAGCGTGACACATCTATTATTAAAGTCTGAGAAACTGTCTCTCATACGTTGTCCAAGTCTAATTTTTTCCTGTAATTAATTAGGGTTCATTAAAACAATGAAAAAGACTTACCTTCTAGTAAATCTGAAGCTGATCCTAAACAATATTCCATAACAAGCTGCAGCAGAGAGAAAGGAAAACGAATGTATTTATTTATAATTTATCAAACAAAAACTAAAACACGAATAAAAATAAAATGGCAGGGACGATAGGCACGTTAGATGCACTTATGCACGCCCCTTTATGGACCTCTTAAATATGCAGTTGAGAAGTCCATTTGTGACTACAACTGAAAATGTGTAGCTGAGACAACTGCATCAGGTAGAGCATTCCAGACTTTAACAACTCTATTGCAAAAATCGTATTTTTTACAGTCAAGTTTAGAATGGTTTACCTTGAGTTTAAAGCAGTTGTTTGCGCACGCGTTATTGAGATTAAAACAGAAAAAGGCATTGACACGTAAAACATTAGTACGTACAGTTTTGCATGCAATCCCTTGGTCCCACCACAAGCGACGCAGTTCCAGGTTATCCAAACCAAGAATTTCGAGCCTAGATAGCGTAGGGAATTCTATTGTGTACGGAAAAGTACAAGAGTTTTCTTGTAAAGAATTGTTAAGAAGGCAGTACGGGGTGGCGAAGAAAGAAAGATTTTGATTAAAGTTTCCGAGGCAGCAACCGCCTTTCATTTTCACCAGGTTGCTCTCGATACCAATGCGGTTTCTCTACATCCAGTATTCTCAAATTCATTTTTGTTTGTTTTCAGTTTGATTTGCATCCATTATTTTTATGAACAATTCAAGGGGGTGAACATCCCTCCTCCTATTTTCTCTACAACAATCCTGTGAGGTGGGTTGGGCTGAGAGAGTGATTGATCCAGAGTCCCCAGATGGTGAGTTCTAGTCCCGTCTTAGCATGAAAGTCAGGTGGGTGACTTTGGATCAATCCCCAGAAGAGAGTGAGTTCTAGTTCCATCTTAGCCAGGAAAGCCAGCTGAGTGACTTTGGGCCAATCCCCAGGAGATGGTGAGTTCTAGTGCCGCCTTAGTCATGAAAGCTGGTTGGGTATCTTTGGCCCAATCACCAGGAGACAGTAAATTCTAGTGCTCTCTTAGGCACGCAAACCAGCTGGGTGACTTTAGCCCAATCCCTCTCTTTCAGCCCAACCTAACCTCTCAGGGTCGTTGTTGTGGGGAGGAGAAAGGCGCCTCGGGTATGTTCGCTGCCTTGAGTTGTTTATAAAAATAATAAAGGTGGGATAGTAATAAAATAAAATGCACAAAACAAATATTGGCTTACCCATGCTGTATGATCCCGCAGGTAGCAGCCTTTGTACTCTATACTGTTTGGATGTTTAATCCGTTGGAGGAACTTCACTTCCTTAATGATATCCTGCCATTTCTGGAGAAGAGAAAAAGGAGTGGCTTTGTAAGAGGGAAGTAAAACTTAAAAAGGAAGAAAGAGCCAGGTGATCTAATAAAGGAAACGGGACATGTGGGCAACCAAGGACAAATTCATTCTCTGCCCAAAACGGTAGGACTGTTACCAGCAATAAAATAATAAATTGGTGTGCGGAAAGGAAGGACTTTTCTTCAGCCGTATATCTACAGGATTGCTTATTTCCAAATGTAAACTTGCTTTCTGTATTGCTGGTTTTGGCCAAGACGTTAATCTCTCAATTTTGTTTTTTTATATCTATATCTATATATTCTTATATATATTATAAACATACATTTATTTCTGACAAAACTGCAAACCAAGTGTTAGATCAGTAATGGCAAATTTTTGGTGCTGGGTGAGTCAAAAATTCAGAAAACGCCTAATTTCATTCTGCTGGCAAGTCTGAACAAAAGAGAAACCTTTCTTTTTCTTTCTTTTCTTTCTCTCTCTCTCTCCATCTCTCCCCTTTTTCTCTTTCTTTCTTTCTTTCTTTCTTTCTTTCTTTCTTTCTTTCTTTCTTTCTTTCTTTCTTCTTTCTTTCTTTCTTTCTTTCTTTCTTTTTTTCTTTCTTCCTTCCTTCCTTCCTTCCTTCCTTCCTTCCTTCCTTCCTTCCTTCTTTCTTTCTTTCTTTCTTTCTTTCTGTTGTTCATTTCTAGTGGTGGCAGAGTGATGGCAACTGCAGGTTCATGCAATAGTCAGTCCCTCCCTCCCTCCCCCCCCCCCCCCCCCCCCTCCCCCCCTTCCCTTCCCCCCCCCCCCCCCCCCCCC